CTCTCCAGAACAGTGGTATTATCGCCTTCTCGATCAGGATCCACTTTTTCTTCGCTCTCTTCAATTTCTATGCTTTCTTTCTTTTGCTCCATAGAGTTCACAGCTGTGCTTGCTCTAGAAGTTTGATCTGTTTGAGCAGTTTCCGCTCTGCTTAACTCTTCCAAGTTAGCCTCGGCCTGCTCCTCTTTTATATCCCGGTTTAGCATAGGATCACCGATAGATGTTTTTTCATACATATCTTGCGTGTCCTTTGTGCTGGAACGGCTTTCCTCTTGGATTCTGTCCTCACTCTTCAAATATTGTTCACCGAATTCTTCTAGTTCATTGTTTTGCCAATGTTCCCCCATCTCTCCAAATTCTGTCCTCATGGTTTCTTCTGGATTCTCATGTTCTCTTTGGGATGTTATGCTTTTTTTGTTGATACCTTCTTGTTTTACCAGCTCTTGTTGCTCTACCGGCTCTTGTTGTTGCATTGATTCTAGTTGTCCTATCGATTCTGGCACATTTATTGGGCCTGATAATCTTATCGACTCTTGTGGCATTTTAGGTTCCTGCTGTTTTATTGGCTCTTTTTCTTCGCATTGCATTATTTCTTGCCATTTTGGCAGATCTTCTTCTGGCCCCTTAACTGGGGTTGGTTTCTGCACTGCCTGTGTTTCATTATAGTACTTAACGGCCGGAATATGTGCATCGAGTTGGGAGAAGTCATCTGTAACCTGCTTAGCTCCGTCGGTACTGATATGCATTGGCACCCATTGATGCTGGTCACACATGCCATGCTTGGCCGTATTCCAGCCCGGAGTGATGTGTTCAGACATACAGCGTTGACTGATGGTACTGCATTTGGTGCATACCAATGTCTGTATTAGTACATTCTGTTGTTCATATTCCTGTTCCACCAATTCATTCCCGTTTACACCGGTTTTCAGGGACATCTGCATATTAATCGGACCCTGGCTGCTCACTTCTGTCGCCCTCCAGTCCTCCCCGTTTAGGTAGGGCTGCTGACTTAAACTGGGCAACGCCATCTTGTGGCTGTCAAGTCGAATTTGGGGTGAGCTAATGTTTAGGCATTTATTAAAATTGCCTCCCGTCTCGTGACCGATGGACGATGGTGTGCTGGCCGATTGATGAAAACTGATACGCACACGACGACAAATGGCTCCAATCGCGGTGTTCACCATTGGGTTTCGTGACCTCGGCAACATGGTGAACTGTTGCTTGATGTGGACATGGCCGAGGGGATATACGGATCGATTGAAGGGGTCTAGGTCGGAAGTTGGCTTGAAGTTGGGCGATAAGTGATTTGGCATAAATGGTACTATTGAGGCGTTGGTGACCTCCGCTTTTACTCGTCCAGACGTCAAATAAGGCCGAAGTTGGTCAGACTCCTTCTCGCTGGCGGGTCTGGGCCCAGTTTTCACATCTTGCATTAAGATTGTTGCACTGGCTGCCCTCTGGTTGAAAGTTGATTTCTTATTTGACTCCGCTTCTGAGGGAGTTTTGTTGGATGGTCGAGGATAGGCCGACTTGAGTGTTTTAACTCCAACGTTGAGACCCCGAGCCTCTCCGTCAAGGCCTTTTCCGTTGTTGGCAACAGATGCAGTGGGACCTGCAGCTAATTTAACGGAGACTTCGTCGTTTCCGCTTGGCAGACCTTTGGCCAGATCGTCATTAGGAACTTGCGGTGATGCATTTTGCACTCTGTTCTCTTCAGTTTCGGGCGGAATTCTATTTTGAGGCTCACTCGAGACTCCCTCTTTAGTTGAACCGCCTAATCCCTTAGGTTTATTATTTGCTAACGAATTAGAACCCCGGCGTACCTCAGCGCCAGCGTTTGGTACTGACAGGTTATCGGTACGAAAACTGTGCGAATTTACGTTATCTTTCGAGCCTTTATTTGCGTCAACCTTTGGCAAACTAGCTCTGCCTCTTGGTAAACTGCTTTTATGATGATCGGAGGGCCTTTGTTTTTGATCCATCATGGAGGACGTTTCAGCTTGGAGCGTTTTACTCACATCTTGGTCGCTTTGGTCGTCCTTCATGTTATAATTCCTTTCATACTTGCCAATCTCCAAAGTCCTTGGCATGCTTCCTCGACTTTTAGACGACCTACTCAGTAATGCTGAGGATCTTTGATTCTCCAGATTAGAGGCTTGAGAACAAGATCTTTCACGTTTGTTATTTCTACTCATCTGTCTATTATCATACTTGGCCAGGTCATAGGACCAGAGTGTGTTGCTATGGGCTCTAGAAGAACTATTCCGGCTTGGTATCGAGTTTCTCATACTCCTAGTCTGTAAGTCATATGATGGCGCCAGCTTTCTCAGGTAGTGCCTTAATTGGTCATCTTTTTTGTCCTGTGGCATTTTGGCCCTGATCTTAGCCAGATCATCCGCGTCAGGGAGGTGAGCTGGCATACTTTGCATGCTTTCTCGGAATGAGCCTGATCCATCTACACCTACTCTATTAATGAGTTCCTCATTTATATTCTCATCAAGTTTGTTCTCATGCATTTGACTCTTTTTATCATACCCCAATGACTGGCACACATGAGACGAAAGCATGTCGTTTAGGTCATTTGGTTCGTAATTTCCATCAGCCTCCATCTCTGAGGTAGGGTTTACTGTTATCCATTCGAAGTCTCGTAAGGCTGCAGAAAGTGCTTTTTCCCTAGACTGTTCAGAACTTATAACTTCCGTCGTTGGGAATATCTGTAGTGGTGTCGAAATTTCTGGCTTCTCTTCAAGATCCAGCCCTTGCGTGTTATTTAGGTTGTATACCGAGCCTATTTTGAGTTGGTGGTCCCGCAGAAATCTCTTCGGCCAAAGCGCTGGGGCACTTAACTTACGCCTCACCGTTGAATTCCTGTGTGATAGCGCAACCAGAGGATGAGGCTCTGACTCCTGGCAAGAGTCTAACATTGAAAGTGATGGTCCTGCCTCAATTAATTGACGAGCTTTTTTTTTTTCCTCTTTCCTCTTCCTATGCATCCTTAATTCTCGATTCACAACGTGACTCAACATCTCATCAGCTCCACTGTTGTACTGCTGTGAATCAACACTTCGCCCTCCTTTGGATTGGTGTTCATTATTGAAATTGATTGCTAGAGTCTCGCCATCAAAGTCGGTCAGAGAACTCTTTATTTTCCTTGGAATTAACTTATATCTTTTTAAAGAGAATCTATGAGAATGCAGAAAAATATTATTCACGGTTGTGTTTAGCCTGTTCCGCGTTGCTGCCCTTCTAATGGCCATTTCGAGGGCAAATTAAATAAAAAAATATTCAAAAAACAATCGCCAGTCTTCTAGCTTCCAGTAAATAAAATGAAATAAATATCCGCGTTTGGCTTCTAATGATGCAGCATTTGACGAGTTAAAACAAGTCACAAGTGTGTCCTTAAGAGATGCGTTATTCTGAAAGAGTCAAGTTTAAAGCCAAGTATCGATCACATCCATTTGAAATATACTAGGCTATCTTAATTGTTTTGCCTCATTTTTGCCTACAGTAATTAACTCTCCACAAGCTGTCTAATTAAGTTTTCATTACATTTGTCATAGTGTTATTGATTTTTAGGAGTCGAAACAAAATATTGAAGATATTTTAAAATATCTCTTTCATCAGAGCTATCTCGTAAAGCTGTTTACGCTTGAATAAACTGAAGTACAATGAATTAGGAAATAGAACCGATACGAGGGATAGGCTAAACAAGTTGAGTTTTCGAGTGGTATAAGTCATAATGAATGTGATTCTCATTCCTTGTGGCCAATCAATTTTGACAGCAATGCTTCAAAGTCATCGGACACGAATTATATTCGTCACATTATTCAGCAACCCATAACTACAGCCCTTGATAAGCATCAAACGATATCCAAACGTTAAGCATTATGTCCAAAGTGGTAGCTTTCAAACATGATTGCGGTTGGTATATGCGTCAAGTTAAGCATCAATTGCTTGGACGTTTATTGATCCAATTTTTACCCTGGCCTTACTTTATTAGAGTCTGATCTATTTAAGTTGAAAGCATGTAAAGCGCAAAATATGTACATGTTCCAATCTACCATTTTAAAAGCTTTATGTGTCTGTCACTTGCGCAAACACTCTTTCTCC